CTGGTCTCGGTTGGTTGCCTTGTTCCTAGATTTGTAGCCCGTGTTCAGTGTGTATTCGTGCAGGGCCTTCCATTTTTTGGCTCGCCCTCTCCCTCTGTCCTCATACCATCCCCATTCGCCTGGGTCTAATTCTAATTCTGTAATGTCTTCATTTGGTCTTAAATTACCATATCGTTTCTTTATTTCTTCTTCCTTTTTTTAAGTTTTTTTCCTGCTTTCTTCTGGTCAGATAATTTTAGTTCTCTTACCTTTCTTCTTTTCTTACCATTATGATGGCTTTGCCAGTTATCTCTAGTTCGTGTACTCCAAAGGTTGCTAGGTTTTTGGATATGTCCGGAGGGCCACTGATGGATTCTCAATGTTGCCCAGTTTCCTTTTTTCCATGTTCTATTCTTTCTCAGTAATGATCTCCATGCTATAGGGAGGATACTGTCTATTGAATCCTCCAAATTCTTCCTGAGATTATGATGACCGTTTAGTGCTATCCTTTGTTCATTCTCTGCCATCCATCCTCTGGTTTCCTCATCCCATAAGTGCTCTATTTTCCATATACCATTTTCTACCCATCTTCGCCATCTTTTGTCCTTTCCCGTTAGGGTCCATGCTGCCCTTCTTTGTCTATCAGGAGTTCATTCCCAAGCAGGGGTTGTCCTAGCACCTCTTCTTTTGAGTTGGCCCCCCTCCTTTGTGGAAACGCTTCTCTCAAGGACAAAATTAGGCTAGTCAAGTGTCTACTGGGTAGTTCTTCTACTGGGTGTATCCCTCCCGATCTAGGTGTTGTTCCTTCTTTTCTCTGTGTCCAGTGCTTGTTCACGATCCACAGTACCCATCTATATACTCTCATGTGCTTTGAAGGGCAAGAGGTTCCAAATCTGGTGCATTGCCATGTCATACCAAGGTGGTTCTAGTTTTATGATGAGTCCAAGTATCCATTTCGCTTGTAAAGACTTGTATTCCGTTGCTGGGTCTATCAGGCTAAGGCCTCCTTTGCTGGCAGGATTGGTTATGTATTTCCATGCCACTTTGGTGGTGAAGTGTTCCCTTGAAGTGTCCCGTAATAGACGAGTTATAATAAGTAGTGCCCTACCGATCAGAGATGTGTAGATGTGCTGCCAACCTATATATTTGTTCATGATTCCTGGTAATAGGTTATTTGCTACTGTGTCATTGGTTCCTAAGAGAGATACGGAGATGCCTAGGAACTTAAGCGGATCCTGCTTGTTCGACCATTGGAGCCCTTGTGTTTCTTCTGTGATGGGTGGAATGGGTAGAGCTCTGAATTGCACCATCCTACAGTTTCCTTCCAATTTATCTTCATTTATGATGCTAGTTGGAACGCTTGCATCGCTTGTGTGAGCGCTTGGAAGGACGAGTCCGATGATCTTATTAGGACAGTGAGGTCGGCCGTGAAGAGCATTGCTGTGGGAAGGTGAAATTGTTCGTTTCGTGTTCTGTTCAGGGTGTGTTATCTTTCTATCGATGGGTCTTTTCTCAAGAAGGACGCTATTGCTTCCATCACGAACAGAAGTATGGGTGTTGCTAGGGGATCTCCTTGTCTGACTGATCTCGTCATTTTGTATTTCTCAGACAGGAAGCCATTGACTTGAACATGTCCCCTGCATCTGAGTACAGCACCATCACCGATTTACAAAAAGTTGGCCCTACCCCCACTTTATCCATGCACAGTTGGAGGAAATCCCAGTTTACCTGATCATAGGCTTTCTATAAATCAAAGAAGAGGACTGCTGCTTGGAGTTTTCTATCCCTGATTAATGTAGTGGCTTCATTAAGGCATACTACGTTGTCCAGTATATATCTTCCTGGGATGAAACCTGTTTGATCGAAGTGGAAGCATCTGTCTGTGACATTTTTTTCAAGTCGCCATCCTACCATTTGCATACTGTGCAAATGTCTGAAATGGGGATTGCCTCTTTCATCTAAACGGCGGAAACACATTATTCGCCTTCTTTTTTTTTCCAGTGGAAACATATACTGGCCATTTTCTTTTGTCTTTTTTACTTTTTTCTTTGTCCTTTCCACATTTGCAGAGTACCGGAGACCCTTGTTCACTCGGGTTCGTAATTTTATTATTTTTCTATCCCTTTGACGAGGCTGACAACATTGGGATACCATTGTTGACTTGTTGTCATTGTTGTTGGAGCGAATCTCATCAGTGTATCCCTTGGGCAGAGTTGCCTGCCTGAGGGATCTTGAACCCCACACCGATCAACTCCAACTTGGATAAACAACCAGATGAGGTGGCTTCCTAAAAAGGGGCACGCTCCACTGGTGCTTTGTTCATTTTAAAAAACCACGGACGTGACCAATTGTTCTGAACGGTTCATGAACATAGAACTCGTGGGGCCTCACGCTACACCTTGCTTATCTTGTCCTGGTTCAAGAACCTCTACCATCTTCACCCAAATACAACGTACAGTCATTATTACTGTACCATTCTCAAAGTCGCCCCAAATACAGCTTTAATGACCATACGTTGTATTTGGGTGAAGACGGTAGTATTGCGATGGTCTCCAGAAAAACCCCAATAGAGGACAGTAATGAAGTCCTCCTCAAGTAATTGTTCATTTTGACATAGCTATGAGGCCCTAGAGGTTTGGAAGACGACTGCCGTTTGGAGTTTGGCGACCGAGCCTGCAGTTTCAGAGGTGCCTCAGCAGAACCAGGCTTGAGTTAAAAGCCTCCACCCCTCAGGTAGCTACACCGAACAACTCCAAAAAGACTAATTCTGAACATTGGATGCAGCGTTACTGGTCAGATTCAGCGGCGGATTCAAAAGCTCCGTTCTTATTTGTTTGGAGTCACACCACGTGTCCTAGCTACCAAGTGCTGCTTTTTTTTTAAATACAAAAATAAAAGTGCAGGCTAGCCAGGGGCAGAATCGTTCAATGTTTCGAATGACTCTGGCCCTGGCTACTCAGCACTTTTTTCTTTCCCAATGGGGGAATAGCTCAGAATAATATTGCTCCCAGCACAAACCCATAATAATCTGTTTATCAACAGTTCACTGAGTTCACCCACCAGTTCACACGGAACCTAAGTATTGCTCTTACCGGTATATGCAGTAAGAGCATTTCGATTCAGGCCTCGGCTGGTGTGAACTGGCGGCTCACCAGTGTGGCTAGAGCAACAGGTTACTTTGAAAAGGCGTAGTTGCACGCTCACCAGTCTTGGAATGTAGCTTTGTCAACTTAGGCATGTATGAACTGGCGGCCCAAAAAAGAAAAAAGACGAACGGCATGGGCGCAAAGTATATTTTCTTTTTGCCTAGTACCGTCAGCCTTCTCCTTCCAGTAGAGGGTGGTTTAAACCACCAGTACCTCGCCCTGCTAAAAATTCCCAACGCGGCCGATAACACACCGCGTCGGACCGGGGTCGGGGGAGGAACAACCGGTAATGAAACAACAACAACAACAACAACAACAACAACAGGGGAACGCAACGGGTGTGGGCGGAGGGGGGAGAGAGAGAGAGAGAGAGAGAGAGAGAGAGAGAGAGAGAGAGAGAGAGAGAGAGAGAGAGAGAGAGAGAGAGAGAGAGAGAGAGAG